TCGACCAAACGTCTGTAATTCAGACAATTTCAGAACGAGGGCGAGGAGGCCATTGCCGCCGTTATTCCAAAAGACGTAGTTAAGCCGTTGCGTTTCCAGTTACGGGTTTGTTTATTTGTGTCTTTCTTTCTAATTATTATTATTTTTTTGGTAATGCGTTTATGCCCACAATGTGAAGTCAATGAAAGGCACTGCCAGGTTCCGGTGTTGTACGCCTAAGAAGGTTCGTCCTATTTTTTCAGTTGTATTATTTTGTTAGAAAACGTCCTCGCTTATCGTGTGAAGAGCAGGAAGTGCCAATCCGTTACCGTGCTTCGTCAGAGTAGCACCTGATCTGACGTCACTTGACCAGACATACTGAGGAGACGCGCGCGGGAAAGCGTATACCTTCAGCTATGGTGCCTGGAACGCGTATCCGACTGGTGTTTACCGCGTCCAAAAAAGAGGTCCCTCGATCTCCGCCTGATGACGTCACACAAGCGTCATGCTGTCGCCGGTCGCGATCCTGGCGGCGTTTCAACAGCTGTGGTGTATGTTGCAGACGCCTGTTCTGCTGCAGGTTGCTCTCCAGTGTGGCAGTCCACGGAAGCTTGAGCAGTCAGAAGTTGGGACGCCGTGACGACAGCGACACTCGCGTTCGCTCGAGCTACTCGCAGCTTCTCGTTAGTATTTCTACGACCAACCGCCAGGATCGTGACATCCAACAGCATGGCACTCCGACTCCTGTGACGTCATTTGTTGCGACTTCGGGACCACTTTTGATGTGTATGGGCGGCATAGGACGCTAGACACACCAGTCGAAGACGCGCTCCAGGCACCATACTTCCATTGCGTTAACGAGACGCTTCTGGCTACCAGAAAGAAGGGTGGATTGACGCCACGCGTGCAAGCTATGCATACTTCGTTTCACCTTAATTCCAGACGCAGCCGACGCTGTAGGAGCTGATGGGACCAATCAGACAGGAACTTTCAGTTGTCCCGCATCCAGCGCCACCTTGTTCCTACCTTCGATAACACTCGGGCGTGTCGTGTACCTCGAGCGTGCTCACGTATGCATAATCAGTGCACGGCGGAAGGCAACCAGCGCGTGCTGGAGGCTGAGCACCCCAAAGAGACGCCCCGCCGTTTTCATCAGTAACCATTCTTAACGCTCGTCCCGTTCACTTCTTCTCTCTTGTCCTCGTCCGTATAGCGCTATTTGTGTTGTTGCGATTGTTGCTCTTCGGCAGCAACAAAGGTGACTCCCGAGTGGCAGGTGCGTTTGCCACCTGCAGCGAAAGCCCTTGTTAACGTGCCGTCTGTGGTCGTCAGGATTGCACTCATCGTGACACTTTTTCTCCATATGCTGTCGCTAGAGAGCGTCGACGTCGGTAGCACCTATTTATTATGTCGATAACGTATAGGAGGGAGGTTAAGCATATCGGTCTCATCACTCATAGCCCGAGACTTCGCCCACACCCTTGGCGCGCTCATCGTATTGTCATCGGGTGCCGTTATCTGGGTCATCGGAACACTTTACTAAAACTTTCCAATACGCCCGTGGACACGATGATTTTTTACCGCCTTATGCAACGCCAGACTTGATGAACGAGGCCCGCAACATTCGCTTTCACTGTGAGCTCATCAGTGGGCGATCTTAGGAGATCGTTCGATGGCTGCCGTCGCCTTTGCGTATTCATCGCATCGTGATCGGATATCGTTTTCAAAAGTATGAAAAAACTTTCGAATCTCATCTCACGAATACAACTGGTAAGTGCAGCGGCGGGATATTGCGCTGGCGGTTAAAGAATGCTGGGATGGCTTTTTAATTCGATGTCAACAAAATATATATTTCTTATTCCCACTTCTTATCACGTATGCACAACTGCAGCAATGTTTCGTTTCATGCGGGTGGCCTTGACTTGAGTATACGTATAGAGACCGGCATTTCCTTAGAGCTCAGGGGGCGGAGTTTTTTGTTGAAACTATAATTCGATTATCAGTTTTATAGCTTAAACCACGTGTCATCCGACAGATCTGACTTTCTCTCGTGACTTTGCGAAACAAAAACAACAAAAATAGTCACAAAAAAAAAGACTAAAAAGAAAACGGAAAATTTGAGGACAAGGTAGAGAAGCACACAAAGCGCTCTTTTTTTACCCTCTTTTAGCGCTATCTTTTTTTTTTTTTTTTTACGTAATTATGGCCGCGAAAGGTTAAAAGTTCAGGGGAAGCTACTCTCACCCCTTTCCACTTGAGCAGAGCCAACGCCAGAGAGGACGTCGCCTCCTCTCCAGTTGTTACCTGCGCTAAAGCGGAAAGTGGTGGGAGGCGCTTCCCGTGAACGCTTTTAACCTGCCACAAACGTTGCGACTCCACGCCCTTTTGGAGTCACCAAGAAGCGAAAGAACGAATGTCATCGTAGAATACCACCACAAACTGTCAATGACACGTGTACTAGGACCCGCGCAAACAAACATACCCAGATTCGTAGGTGTTTTCTGTGTTCTTATTCTTCCAGTTGTTCTTCAGCGCTTGGTCCTGTCCCGTCTCTTCTTTCATCCTCGTTTCTGTCGGCGCCATTTGCACCATAGATCAAATAAAAACACAATTGCAGTTTTGTTTTTAACCGACATTTATACGTATACCTTTAAGACATTATTCCAAATTTTCCCGCTTTTTTGCCGTGTTCTGGAAATTAACTGTGGCGAAAGCCGCAGTTAACAGATGAACACAGAACACTGTTCGCTAAATTTAAAGGACGATGTTCATGTGACACTGTGGCGTCGACGTCAGGCGACACTAAATTCCTGCTAAATTTAGAAGCTTATTTTTCCCGCTAAATTTAGCGGGCCACGACGGGCCTACACAGAACACACACGGGATCCACTGCAAAGCTTCGCCAACACCTGTAACCATAAAAAAAAGAAGAAAACTACTGGATGCATTATTTAGTTCGATACTTTCTGACTGGAGAAGATAGCGACTGAAGGACCAAATAGGTGTCCATCCTAAAAACCACATCCGACCCACGATTGTGGAGGGTTAGACGAAGGCGTTCAGACGGCCTAGGGTTGCTGACCCTTCGTTCAGAGCGTCACTAGCGAAATGTGCGGCTTGACAGCGGCTGTTTGAATAAGAAGTGAAAAGAAGATATACAAAAACTTTTATCGATCAGGATATATATGAAGCACGAAACGTGTATAGAAACACAAATGCTCATTCTGCAGTAAAATAAAATAGAAACACTTCCGTTGGTTCTTGTTTTGAATAGCCATAAACGTGTCGTCCTGTCGAGTGACGCTTGAAAAGAGTGTCAAGTGTTAAAACATGCACCTGGCAACCGCCTGTTTTTTCTTTTTTTTTCTTTTAAAGACGGAGTTTTTAGGAGCTCGTCTCCGCATTTTGCGGCGTCGGCGTCACCGTCGGCGTAACCGCCCCGCTAAATTTAGCGGGAAATTGAATTAGTGTTGAGATCACGTGACGTCAATTTTCGCGCTAAATCTAGCTTAGAAACTGAATGTGTTCATGGGTGACGTGACACCAAGTCATGTGACGTCATTTTCCCCGCTACAGTTAGCGGGGAAACTAAATTGGTGTTGAGCTGAAGACGGTGGAGTGTTGGGCAAGTTGGTGAGTCATAATGGTTAAAAAAACGCAACAGGACAGCGGACAGAAAAAAAAATGGGTTGTGTGTATGTTTATACAGCCTAGAACTTGGTCTGCCTCAACGGGCGACGAGTCTCCTAGCTGTGGATGAGAGATTTAGCCAGTGCAGTACAACCGCTAGCCAGGGGTCTTAAACGTGCATCACGCAGTAGTGATACACGACCGCACGCCGGTACCATGCTCATCCAGATCGAAAAGGGCAGGGGCGGGGATTGAACCCAGGATCCTGGGTTCTGCAGCGCGAGCTTTCGCTCCACGTGCTCCGAGCTGGTGTGCGCTAGCCCACTTAAAGCCCACTCGGCCACCGATTCCCCTTACCGGGCAGAAAGGAAGACACAGACACAGCGCTACTTAAAACTAAACTTTATTTTCGCGGTCATTCAATATATATACCGGCGCCAACAAAAACAAGTTAAGAAAGATATATAAATACACATTGTTAAAAGGCTAAAATTGTGACATCACTCATCACACCATCTCGGACTAGCCATCCCTGGTTTAGGAACAGTAATTCTTTTTCCGACAAAGGTACAAAGGGTGAACCCCCCCCCCCCCCCCCCTTCCGCCCACACGCACACACTGTAGCCCCAGTCTATCAATTTCTTGGGCCTCAAGTATTTCTCGTGTGATCTTGTTTTCGTTTTTGTTTAGTACAACACAGTCAGAAAAGAGTAGAGTGCAGCCACAATCTCGGCAATGCACACCGAGATGCCCTGATACGAAGGTATCTACGTTGTATCGGTGCTCCCTCAAACGTTCATTGAGGCAGCGGCCCGTCTGACCCACATAGTAGACGCCCACACGATAGGACGGAATGAACGACCTCTTCTACGCACTCAACGAAGCAAGTTTGTGCTTCTTCAGGAAAAAGGTTTCGTGCTTCTTTGTCGGAAAAAGAATTACTGTTCCTCAACCACGGATGACTGTTTAAGATGGTGTGATGAGTGATCTCATAATTTTAATCTTTTAACAATGTGTATTTGTATATCTTTCTTCACTTGCTTTTGTTGGCACCGGTATATATATTGAATGACAACGAAAATAAAGTTCAGTTGTGAGTAGCACTGTGTCTGTCTTCGTTTTGTGTTCCTTCCCCCGTGCCCTGAAGGTATAATTTTTGGTATTGTGCAAGGCAAGTAAAATATCTCATCATCTGTTTTTTTTTTTTTTTGTTTTGTTTTTTTAATATTTTTTTTTATACAATGCAGGCTTTTTGGGATGTTATGAAATTACTGGCTCCAAGTAGAGGCTGCATTAGCACAGAACGCCTCTATCTAGTCTTGATGTGCTTTTGAACAAAACAAAAGGTTATGAAACATTCATGTCGGATACCATCTCACTGTTGTGTGCAGGTGACAGCGTCTAGCCCCTGAAGCCATGGTTGCACACCAATTCTTCGCAACCCCAATGGATGCTATATTGTACCGAGGCCAAGCTTAATAAAAAGCATTCCTAAAGATTTTGTTGTAGATCAGTGAATAGGATGCTCAAAAGCAGATTCCGGTGGTTGCAAAAGTACTGGGCACAGCAACATCATTTGACTTTCTGCACAATGCGGGCCCGTACAACTCTATTTTGCCCCCTCCCCCCTTCCAAGCACCAAGAGTCCGACCCCGAGGGCGATGTGAGCTTTGACAGCAGAGGACAAGCTGTGCAGCACTGAAAATCTGGGAGGTGGCTGCCTCTGCACACCAATCATGTACTGCCTACCAGGATCTCCCTGCTCAAATGTGAAGCCGGGCAGCTGTCGAGTCTGTTACGAGCTTTGTCTCTGAACTCATCGCATCTGCGAAATATACTTGTGTGCATCCGCTTGCAATGTTTTGTCATACTTTGTAACTTGCCCAATCCAGTAGACATGGCAAGCCCCTTTTGACAGCAGAGTGATCTACCTAGCAAACAGTTCAAGCGGCATTCGATTCTTTCTGGGTCTTTTATAGACAACCTATTATGGATGAAGCAGGGCAGTTTGATACGAGGACACTTTTTTTGGTCTGATTCAATTGCTTATGCACCAAAACAACTCACCCCAAGCCCATGGCAGGCAAGTCTGGTATTTCAGAGAATGACGTATCATATATTATACAGAAAGAGATAGACAAGTTCATTTTTTTATTGCTGTGGTACCTGGGCTGAAGAAACACCACCAAGCATGTGCGGTCGGAGTTTTGGTATGGTACCTAAATTTGGAACTTTGTGCGTTTGTGATAAGTTGCTGCTGCTGAAAAAGCTTTTTTACCAAAATACTTTTGGCAAGGGTATTGGCAAAAATGCAAACCGCATAAGCGAGACGCCGAGGTATTACGACTGAGAGAATACAAAGAGAGCCTCCTCACAGGTGGCATCTTGTTTCCCATCGACTGCCTAAACATCCTGGCTCTAACTGGATATTGTTCTAAGCATAGAGGAAGAAAATGTGAAGAACTAACTGTGGTTGCTGGTGTCTGGACGATTGGAGTTCCACCGCCGTATCACCGTTAATTGTGAAATTTCTGGTTCCATGTGTATAAATTACAAATTGACATCAGAAGTGGTTACTCGAGTCTCGGTATATAAACAATTGTACCAAGATTTGCTAACCCAAAAATTGTATTCTGTGTATGACAATTTTGTCGGGTATGACCAAGGTAGTGCTGCAAGTCTTTCTTTCATGCGCTGTACTGAAATCATGACAGATGGAAAATGGTGCATAGGGAGCACGTTTTATTGCGGATGAAAATTCTGTGCCCCCCTAAGGTGCAGCACGAGTGTGGGCAGTGAAGATGACTGCTGAGTATGTGCAGCTGCTTCTCCATCACCAGCCTGCAGACAAAGTACACGAAAAGGGAGAAGGCTTATAAAGACATGCCTTTTTAAACAGCATGTTAGAGAAATTACATAGAACAAGAGAATCCTAGTGGTGTGGTGAGCAGTAGTGTATGGCATACCACTGCTTTTACCTACTTTTATAACTCTCATGCAGTACAGGAAATAGCAACAATGTGAGACTCCTGAAAGACATTTCGTTTATGCGAGCACCTTCATAACCAAGGAGGTGCATTCATGCTGTGGGTTTTCCAGTACAACACGCAATCTAGTATGGCGCCCCGTGCATTCACGAGGGCGCCCATCAAACCACTCTGCCATCTTGGCCGCGAGGCGGCTATGCAGTTGCTTCGCCTCAGACACGATCACATGGTCGTGTCGCCGCGAGGTCGATTGGGATTTCGAATTTGGCTCCCGACGTGCCGCTTTGTCTCCTAGCCACTGGATGGCGCTGCAGGCGCCCCAGAATGGGCGAGGAAAAACCTTAACCGCCTCTTAGTACTACCGAAAACAGGCAAGTGTGTGCGACCGGATCTAGGGTAATCGCGGGACACGAGGCCTGGAGGCCCTCTTTATGTTTAACTCGGACTTTACGGGCGTTTGCAAATATTTGTGTAATGTCGCGGGTATTTGTAGTTTACATTAAGTGTTTTGTAGCGTTGTGTTTTATTGTACCAATAAACGGGGAGCGCAATCCCGCTCCCGTGAAAGAACCAGGCTGGACTCGGGTTGTTGACGGACCACGTGGGAAACAGCAAATCGGCGGCGGTACGCGAATTCCTACACTATGAAACAAGCATCCCTGAGCAATGTGCATCTAGCTTAATCAAATTCCTTTGCAGTAAACAAGTCTGCTCTGTCAATCGTACGAAAAATAGAAAGGGACAAGCTGGTGGAAATCAGTCACTTCAAACCACAACACAATGTCAGAAAATAAAAAGAGGGAAAACAAAAAAATTGCTGCATTCACCTTCATTTCTATTATAAATGTCTGTCATGACTGATTTCCAATGACAAGCTAACAGTTGTTACCATCAATGCTTTTGGTGCTGTGGAAGTCCAGCTTTTCCGCATTGCGTTGAGCAGACAAGAAAGGATTTGAGTAGGAGCTGCTCTGGATGTAATCGAATAAAGCAAGGATGAAAAAACTCGGCTTAAAATAACTCATTACAGCCATATGACGCAGGTGTTCTTTCCACGTTTTTTTAAACAATGCTTGCCAGCCAATTTTGGACCTTGACTGCACTTCTCTACAACTAGGGCATTCATGCTGCACTGTTCGGTGCCCAGCAGCATGTGCAATGCAACCAGCTGCTCCTGCTGAGTGGGCGAGAGGTCGCAAACAGTGCAGTTGGGGGAAGTTCAGTCCCTCGCCATCCAGGGTAACAGTGTACAGCTGCAGCGGAAAAAGATTAGCACAAGTGACCGATGACCGTAGCGGCAAAATCGCGACACGCGGCGCTATTATTTCCGAGCGCGCCGATGGCAAGTGACAGTCGCTTTTCATGTCTCAACGTGGGGGTGGCAGGCAGAAAATTGAGGGATAAGATAGCTTTCGAAATGCGGGCTTTAGGATGGGCCGCTTTCTGCCGGCCAGCCCCGCGTGTTGCAATTTTGCCGCTCCGGTGGTCGGTCACCTGTGCTTATCTTTTTCCGCTGCAGCTGTAGCTGATGACATGGTGCACAGCTGACATGACACAGTTTCAGAGGCACGCATACATGGTTTGCAGGTGATGTCATGTCAGTATAAAATACACAGCTTTTGGGCACTTCCAAAGGAGCCGCGGTGGTGGCCACCACTTGGTACATCTCAAATGCGGTTAATGGCAGAGGCAGATAATTTTGCCACGCGAGTCTCCGAGCAAACGCGCCCATGACCGAATGGTTATCGTGCTTAGCTCTCACGCAAAGGCCCGAGGTACGATGCCTGGCTGCACGTGCACCTTTTTGTTATTTCCGTAAATGCCGCGTTCTGGTAAGTTCAAGAACCCTGGTGCTTGTTCAAAATCAGAATGTTCAACGCGCCGAACCTTCTACGCCGATTGTCCCAGAAGCCCACGCGTGTACATGAGGGGCTCCGCGCAGCGATACAGAGTCTCGCTCTTGCGCTCAATCGTGCTACTCCGCGAACCTTCGATGCCTGACGCGCTATCTCTTCGTAGTTTTGTTTTTGACACAAGTTCGCCAAATTAACCGTTTAGTTGCTGCTCATTCGTCACATGATCCTCTGTCATTCGTGACATTCTGGTGGAGGTGCGGGGCATTAACAAAAAAGTGCATGCGCGGCCAGAAATTGAACCTCGGTCCTTTGGGTGGGAGCCAAGCACGATAACCATTCGGCCACAGGTGTGCTTGCTCGGAGACGTGCGTGGTAATATGTGCTAGTGCTGGTACTTCATCTACGCCTAGGCGAAAGTTTAAACCGTCAAGTGATGACCACAAAGATTGCCCGTGTTTGTCCAGTTCAGTCATAGCCTCCTCTATACTGACAAAGCCTGGCGGATCACCACGAGACGCGGCAGCCGAAAGTGAAAAGGTAGAGCGGCAGACAAGAGGCATGTAACGGGCGCCCCGTTGCGGCGAGACGCCGAAACACATTTGTCCCGAGCGATGGCATGTCCGCTCGTGCTTCTCGCGTTCTTCGGGCTACCGCTTCTTTTTTCGTCGGGTTTGGAAACCATGTTTCGGGTCCTCGCCGCTGCAAAAGCTTTGCGCTGACCACAGGCTCCCTGAGAAATGCTCTGTGCTACCAGACCCTCGCGCTCCAAATCTGCGACCGGGCACTCTGTGGCTCCGTCATCGATGATCGTACTGCCAGGCTTTGTAAGTATAGAGGAGGCTATCGTTCAGTACGCAGAAAGTGATTGCCCTGTGTGGTGGCAAGAACCATCTGCTGCTTACTTTCAACTAGACTGTGACACATTGTGATCTCTAGCCAAAGGTTGAACCTGAGCGCAAAAAAATTAAGAGAAATATGAAAAACTGCACGCCGATGATTTTGTGGTGCGTCCGGCTCCCACAGCCCTTTGTACCAGATATTTTTAGGAGTGGACCTTTTATGTAAATAGTAGACATCATGCAGTTTTGGAATTGGTGAGCCAGTTTTGCCTTAGTGTCAATCCCTTGTCAATTTCAGAGTGTTGGGTAGCTGTGGTGTTGCAGGGAATGTTTGGTGGAAGCAGGCCGCTGTTGGGTAACAAGAACGGAAACACAGCTGTTCTTTTTGCAAACTGGCACTTAGTGTCATCCGTTGGATCGGCTGTCTTGTTCGACACAAAACTAGAGTAACTATGTGTGGGTTGCCTCTGCACCATGTGTACACTAAGGTTTTGCTAGAAACATCAACACGGTTGGACCTACAGCCATATTGGGAGCTACCGGCCAGGCACAATATGTTTATGACAGCTTGTTCAACCTTTCTCATAGTCATGCACAGTGCAGGTTGTATTCACAGTTTTATGCAATTGCTGAGATGGGCACAAAAGCTGTCACTTTGGGCCACTGGAGCCAGCACAGTTCAACCTGATCACGGTGTAGCAAAGCTGCAACCATGCACGGACCATCTGTTGCGGCCAACATGGGATTACCGACGGGCTGGCACTCATGTATAATACATGTCAATGACGTAACATAGGTGAAAAGCACGTATCATGG